AGAATTGATAAGAATGGAGACTATTTCATTTAATAAATGTTTTGTTTTTATATATAAGTTGTTCGGGTTTTTAAATTCTAAAAAAGACAACATTAAGTTCTTTACGATCAAATATATATGTATATATATATATATACACACGCACACACATCCTAATGATAGAGCTGATTCAAACCAACCACCAATCAAAAACTAAAATGTTGCTGTTAATCAAAGAGACTGGAAAATCCAGTGGATTGAAGTTCCACATCTATTAATTGCAATTGGACCACTTAAGGGATAATATGTGCTCTCATCCCAAAATACTGAAGAGATTTGAAGGAAGCACACAAATCCAGAGATAGAACCATAGATTCCATTCCATAGATTGAAGCTGGATGGGAGGTGGCTGAGCCAGATGTAAAACATGGCGAAAACTTGTACAACCCAGCAGAAGACATATGATGCTGATGCTAGACCAAAGGCTAGATCCCCGATTTGCAGAACCTGATCCCTGTATACAAAATGTAGCTAAAGGCAAGATGAATTGACTATGAGAATGTGGAGAAACTTGGGCATGCACAGACCCGGTGAAGAATGCCAATGTAGGATGAGAAAGGACTCCATTGTGGACCAGGAAGAAACAAAGAATGGGTTGAGTTGAAAAAGAATGGTGGTCCTCCATGAATTTCCCCTTGTCTTAGTCAAAACATGTAAACAGGAATAAAATCCTGGAAGAACGGGATCAACTGTCACTACCATTCCTGTGATCAGTAACTCTGATAGCCATGAAATGAAAATCCACACCCCACTGGTCAGGTGGAGATGGAAATACCACAGGGTGAGAGTATAATGGAGGTGGAGAATGGAATGGAAAGGTTGATACCAATGCTGCTGGCAAAGGTTGGCCCAACTGTAATGGCCTTGAAACTAAGATCCGAGTCTATTCAGCTGCTAGAGCCAAAAACGTTTGAGAGGTCAACAACAACAACAAAAAAGCAAACAGGTGACAGCAATATGCAATACAAACACCTCTGGGACACCCGTGAACATGACATGACGATAAAATAAAAGCCACATGTAACACCCAGAGGCTATAGCAGGTAGACAAAGTCCCTTCACCAAGGTATCTCAATATAAGGAACTGAAGCAGGTAATCTGACCAAGGTAGAAGTCAGTAGGAGACCCCATTCATCTGCAAATTAATATGGGGACCATTGATGGGGTGCTAACAAATTGAGGGGGAAGAAACATAACAGAGAAAGAGTGAGGAGCAAACAAAATACAAAAAATGTGATTGGTTCATGAACCAACCTGGAACCCCACATATCCAAAATTAAATAATTTTAGTCTGTGGAACTGAAAAAAATACATCTTCCTGGAGATGGAAAGCCAAAGCATGCAAACAGACAAATGAGGGTACAAGGTATATCTATCCTGTCATGTAATAAAGCAGTAAATCTCTCAGCATGAACCAGGAATATCAGGCGAAGAAGGAAAAACTAAACAGTCCCCCTCCCTGCCCATTCCACTCAAAGGTTACAGAGAAAAGCCCCAAAATCTCATAACCCATTGACTAAATGAAGAAAAGGAGTAGGAGGTGATTGATCCAAGTTGGACTCATGAAAAGCCAACTTAGTAAAGAAAAGCATCAGAAAAACTCCGTCCAAATTCTCCCCAGAATAACCTTTAGCTCCAGGAGAAAAACACACCCAGACCACATGTATGTTTTCATCTCTCAACAAATCAAAACACGGACAGCCTCAACTGAGAGTGACACCCCCCACCCCAACTATAGAGAGATGCTAGATAACAAAGGAGGAATAGGAGAGGTCGGGTTGACCTCCATGCTGACAATGGTTATACGAGAATTGATACCCACAAACATCACATCCAATTTTTTTTTAAATGAAATTATAATTATACAAAAATCCACAAGGCAACGCGAAAATTGCATACCATAATGGAACGAACCACAGCACTTCCTCACACAAAACCATGACCCACACTCTGTAGAGAAAAAGTGATAATATTATCTGAAGATATTGCCAAGGGCATTTAAGTGGGGTATAAAAGACTGGAGCATGTGAGACCAATGCTTAGATAGGCAAAGCCAACATCATGGAATAGCTAAAGTGTCAGAGGAGGGTAAGTATGTTTTGGAACTTATTTTTTAAGGTGGTACAAGTACAATGACTTATTTGAGCTGCTTTGTCATTTTTTATGTTTACACATAACATTTTTTTTCTTTTTCAAAAACAGATCCACTTCACCCAGCTGAGTATCTCTGCTTTTTTTTGAGAATTTCATCCCTGCTTTTGGTATTAGTTAATGCACATTGCATATTTAAATAATATCATAAGTTCTGTGTCTGAAAACTTGCTACAATTGTTTTGTACAATATTAATGTATTGTACCAGTGAATAATTTCACCAACTATGTTAATAATTTAAAAAATTGCCTTTTTTATTGTGAGTAGAAAAACTGGTAACAGACAATGAACCAGAATTTCATGTGCAACCAGTTTTTTAATTATTATGACAACTTACTGCCAAACTGTGGCACATTCTTGACTGCAAAACTTTCCATTTTTATAGAATTCATTTAGTAATCCATAACAGCCACAGTTTTCGCATTGAAATATATCTTCAGAATGTCCCTCAGTATCTATAGTTTGGCCCATATTCACAGAATGAGAATCTGGAATAAAAAATTAATTAACATGTAATGAAGATAGGGAATGACATAAGAGAAACACTTTTATAAAAAAGATCGAACAAAACTTATGTAAGATTTATTCTGATTTGAATGACATAAGGATAAGTTAGCATTTCTGAACAAACCACAATTAAATTAAAATTAAATATCACTCCCTCAAAAATTAGGTAACAATTATTTCTATAGTTTTTATTATTGGCTACAAAATGTTTCACTTCCATTTATCATAACTCATACCAGAAAAATTATGAAACAAAATAAAAAATTAATCCATAAGAAATGACCATGATAAACTCTCTTGCTAGGGGCTCGATCAATTCGACCTAAAAACTGACCCCATATTGACTTTTATCGAGGTACCATACTATAACTTCTAATATGTTTTATGTAGCTTCATGAAATTTTGCAAGCTTTCAGTAAGCGTTAATAATCATTTATAGACAAAAAGTTAAAATTTTTAAGGAAGTATTTTCACTAAAAATTTCTCCATGAACACGTGGAGTCAAAGTGTTGATTGCTCTGAGTGCAAAGTTAATTTCATGCTAAGATTAAATATAACTCTATATAAGGTTGGTCAAATTGACCAACCTCATAATTACCAAAAAAGAAAATTGAAATAAATCTAAATTACCATTTTTTTTCTTTCTAGAATGACTTTAAATTGTAATATGAAACTACATTCATTTATCCTAAGTAGCTTTAAACTTGTACTAGTTTACCTCTTTTTATACTTAAATTTTATTGCTTCATTCCTCTTTGAACCATGCCTAACTGATAATAAAATTGAATATTCCCACCTCAGAAGTTGTAAGTCAATTGGCGAACGTATAGTTCACGTTACCCTATCAAATCACATAATGCACGGGCTACTTGTGAGTTGCTTACAAGCATATCTCATAAGAAATTTGTATTATTTTTTCATTTTACCTAATCTAAACTTATCTAACATAAAAAGTTTCCAAGTTTTACATTTGAGATACTTTTATAATAATAAATAAAGAATACACATAAAAAACAAGAAATATGGTACTTACATGGGTCCTCTTTGCTTTTGCTGTCAACTGTCGATGAAACTTAATCCTACTTTTTTACTAATGGTACTACTGCATTAAATATTTGTTATTCAATTAAATAATGTGCCAAAGTACACATAATAATAACAAGAAAAAATATTACTATCAAAATATTTCTGCCTTTCTAACTATGAGACAAGAGGCATTAAAAATTCAGCTAAGCTTGTTGATGTGTTACCTGCGGGAATAAGGTTTGAACTGGAAGCAAAACATACAATTCTATGTACAGAAAACAATATAATATGTCATTTGACAGATTTTAACTTTTTTTTTTGGCTTTCTTTTGGTTATAAGATAGTATTTAACTTCCAATTTATGAAAGAGAGGATGTAACAGGTGGGTATGGCAACAGGGGTCTGTTCTTCTATTTTATAGCTCCGTAACCAAACAAGATTGAAGACTATAAAAATTACACTTTGCTTGAGCAAAGTAAATATTATAATGAGTAATTTATGTAAAATTTTGAATTTCTCAGAGGGGTGGTAAATAAATTATAGAAAAGAGGGTACCTAATGAGAAAATATCAAAATTCTCATACTAGGGGAAACTCAAGATTTTTTTTAAATGTTGTCTATAAAATTAAAAACTTAAAACATATAATATTAAAATTTGGATTATCAGCTATATTTTACTACCAAGCATATTTATACACCATGATAATAAAGTAGTTTAATTAAATTTTCAATGTAACTCACTAACAACTTTTTACATTGTGCAGAAAAATATGCCCATAGTGAGAGGGTTAAAGACATTATTGCATGATCTCTAATCTATTTTGTGCAATGTGTTGAAAACATGCATTTCTAAACCAATAATTACAAATTAAAACAATAAAATATAGCTGTTTTTTTACCTTTTTCACTTTTTACTTCACATGAAAATTGTTCAGAATTTTCTTTGTGGTTGACAGGTGGCAACTGTTGAGTAGATTCTTTTTCCTTATTATCTGTAATAGAAATGCCATTTTTCTCTTTATCTTTTTCCCAAATTTCAGCTGCACTGCTGATTTGGAAGCTTTCATCTTCAGTGCCCTCCAAGGTGACTTGTGCATCATTTCCTGTGTTATCATTTTCTGTCACCATCTCAAGGATCCCAAACTCATTAAGTTTAAACTGCCAGAGAAAAAAATATTTTGATGATGCACCTTCTTTTAATAATCGAAATTTAAAACAAGTAAAAGGTTGTGTTTCTTTTTAAGTTTGTTCTGTCAGTAAAACTACTTCCTTATCCCTACAATATTGAAAAGATAATACAAAAAATGTATCTATACATAACAGTATCTAACCAGGTGAATTCATTATTATTTGAATTATGGCTCAATGTCTACAAACTACAAAAGTTCATTGTTGGATGCTTTTTATGGCATAGAATTATCATTTACTTTTACAATATTGTCTATGGATTATTTTCACTTGATTTTTTTTTACACATTTATTGTACCCTGGTTCTACCCTCAAATAATATTAATACAGTCTTAGTTGTGTTTACATTTATCATGTTACCATGAGATTAATTTATAATTAATCTTTTTTGTTGTATTATGATAATTTATTTAGAATAATTAACCTAGATTTCTTAATATGATGATGTTTTATACCTTGATATTACTGCCTGGAAGAGTTGCTATTCCATCTTTCCAATCCATTGCTTCAATAGGATCAAAGTCAGGATTATTAGGGTCTGTCTTAGAGCCATTACTTGAATGATTTTGAATACTTGGATTTGTATGTAACAAAGGAGTTAGAACAGGTGCTGAAAAACCTGATGATGCTCCCACAGTTAAATTTGTGGCAGAGTTTAAAGTCAAAGATGATGCTACTGATGAGGTAGACACCAACAGAGGTAGAGCTGCAGAACTGGAGGACTGAACAGAAGACTCAAGCGGACGGGGAGATAATGTGAGAAGAGGAGGAACAGAAGTCTCAACACCGGAAACACATGCTAGTGAAATAGGAGGTTGGATACTCTGTACAACTTTAATGAGTCCACCTGTCCCTGGAGGACCAGAAGCCAAAGAGGCAAGAAGAGGTACAGAAGAGACTCCAGAGGGCAAAAGAGGAAGGGCTACTGATGCACATGGCAGACCAAGAGTTGGTGGAGTTAACACTGTTAAACCTGATGCAAGGTTTTTTGGAGCTAACACTGGAAGATTTGATGTATTTGTTGATGAGATGGTTGTCAACAGAGGTTCTGTAGGTTTTATACAAGAAGGAAATATCTCAGTCAGCCTTTTCCTGTCCCCTAACATAGGAACTGTAGTAACTGGGATCTCAGAGTTTAGTTTAGAGTTAGCTGTGATTTCAGCATGGCCATGTGTAACTTTGCCTGGAAGATTTACATTACTGACTGGCACTGAACATGAAGATGCTGTTGTTCCAATGATTTTTGAGATTGTTCCCATTGGATGTTGAGATGAGAAGCATGATACAGATGATATAGAGCAAGGTGTAATTGTGGCTGCATTGGACATTGTTACTGAGCCTATCATTCGGTTCGGTGAAGCAGACGGAACTAAAAGCTGTGGTGAGCTGATAGAAGGACGAAGGGAGTTAACAACAGCTAGAGGGGGCTGGGGAAATGAAGGTCCAGCTGCTAGCCAACTGATATTTCCTGAAGTTGGGGTAAGAGGTGGAATGCTACTAGATGAAGGGAGTGAGGTTTTGGTGATATGTACAGGTATTGAGATGGTGGCTCCAGCCATTGTGACTGTAGGGCCAGTAGAGGCAGCACTCAAATTGCTTGGGATGAAACTAAAAGTTTTGGTTGATGGTTTCTCTAGTATATTGGAACCACAGTCGCTGACTACAGTTGTAGCAGGCTAGAGAAAAACAAAATATTTATTAGTCTTGCATTAAAGCCCTGTTTCTTCTCTAAGTAAAATAATTTGATGTAAGATAATTAAAACAGGTTATATTAGTAAACATTAAAAAAGGTTTACTTCATGTGAGACCTTGTTACACTCTTTTTTTAGATGGCTTACACTTGAGAATATATCTATGTAATTAGACATTGAAATAGCTATGCAACAGCAACAACAACAAAGGTAAGAAAATCCTCTTCCTATTTCATAACCTCCAAATAAGGAATACTGTTTAAGCTCAGCATTCTTTTTCAATTATTTTATATGATTAATGGAACAAACAGAGAGACTGCATACAATCCTATTGATTTTAGCATGCAAAAACCATCAAACTTGTTATAAATATAATAACCAATGCAGTCAATTGTTATTTTTCCTATAAAATTATACAAACACTAGCTAGAGATGTTGATCCTAGAAACTCACATGAGCAGTTCTAGTTAGAGATTTTTGATCTTAAAAAGTTACATTACGGCACCCACCTGAGATTTGGTTCCAGGTGTTCCTGGTATACCTGAGACAGTTACAATAATTGGTTTCTGAAGAGGATTTCCTGGTGTCTCACTTCTGAAGTCACGAGTTACTAAATATAAACAAATGTAGAAATATGGTGGAAAGTGACATTCTTTATAGAGAAACATATAACTCTGAACAACCAATTTCCTTAAAATTACAGTCCAAGAAAACTCCAACACTATTCTATATAATGACTGAAATAAATCTATGTTTTGTGAATCAACTAGTAACTCAGTACAATACATAATATGTTGTGTTTTAATCTTTTATTATATACAATAACTAAATTATGCCCTATATTATTTTCTGTATTAAATTTTTAATACATATTAAGTTATATATCAGGTGGTTTCTTATTAAAAATAATAAATACATTAAGAGCTGTTTCGCTTCCTAAGTCACATTCTAATAACAACAAAGAAGTGTAAGCCCATAAGAAAAACAAATTGGTTCAAGATGTCACTTGTTAATTACAGTATTAAGTCTGATGCTAATGTATACTTGTAAATTATGAGTAGGATTTATTTCTCAAGAAAACTTTGTAAAAACTAGTATGCATCTGGTATTGGTGTTTCAAGTACTTTAAAATTCTCTATTATCATATAAAACACTGAATGGCTTATGTGTAAGAAACAGGAAATACTTCAAAGAAACTTCACCTCGATGTAAAAAGCCTAATATATTAGAAAAGAGTAAGATCAAATGAAATAAGTGCTTTTTCAACAAAACTAAGTTCTTAAATTTCACTTTTAGTGAGATTTATCCTAGACTAGCAATGTTATATACACAATAACATGATATTTTCAAATTATATTGTTGTATTATATAGACATCAAGTATTTGTAACTGAGAACTTAAATCAATGTGTTAAAGTTTAAATTACATAATTTGTTATTAATTCAGAACAGCACGAAGAGCTTTAACAAATTTGATTGTGACCTAAGTTGCATTTGTTGAACTACTTTGATTTTCTGCATGACAGGAGGCCTCAAAGGCTGTTATACTGATTGGAAATCATTATAGCTCAGTTCTAGTTTCACTTTCAGTTGTAAACATGTCTCAATTTAGCCAACTTCGTATACATTTAAAATTTACTGGCCAGAGCCTAACCTGTTGATATGCACTTTAACTGATTTTTCAAGTTAATTGTGAACTTTATATTTGGTTATTTGTGAACTTTGTGTGAAGTGAGCAAATACTAAGGTAATTAGAGAACTGATTTTTGTGGCCTTTATTATTTAAGTACCAATTTAAACATAATCAAACATTTTTATTTTATGTACAGTATTATCTGTTTACTGATTTTTTTATTTTTTTTTATAAACTGGTAGGCCTATACATATGTTATGAGTACCTAGGATTATCTTTTACTTAGATTCTACTGTCCATTTATTTTATTAATTCAAGATTTGATGTTTTTATAAAATTGTTTTATGACAATGTATGTTATGCAAAATGTACATGTTTATACATTTGTACATTTAAGAACTAAAAATTTGCTTGAAGATGATGAAAACACTCTTCCTAGCATCAGTGGTATTGCTAGTGATGGTTCTTTTACTTCTAGCATTCTTAAGATAAATTGTGCTCTGCATGTACAAGCTAAGGAGGCATTCAGAAAGCTTTTTACAACAGATTGCTTGCTTGTTGTGGATGGACAACCTCTGTCGGCATTCAAAACTCTAGTTAAAGTGCAAAAACAAAATGGGTACAACTAATCTCAAAAGAACTGATTTTCATTAGAACAGTCAAGCAAGGTCTACCAGTTTATTTCTTTGTTGCCTTACAGAACACTGATAGCTTTGGTGGTAAAAATGGAAGTAATCTAAATAGGAGAATTGATGATGCATTCAAAGGTAATGGAAAGGCTTCAATTTCAACAGAGAATTACACTTACCTGCTAGTTTCAACTACAGCTGATGGAGTCTCTGTTAATACTGCAATTTACATAGATTGGTAACAAAACTGAAAAATAACAATTGCCTTTGGCTTCTAGGTATTCAGTGTACTTCCCATAGAGTTGAATTGACATTGAAAGATAGTATATGTAAATTATTTGCTGATGTGAAAGACTTCATGACAACTATATATTACTTATTCAAGCAATCTGGAATGTTTAAAAGCACTGTGAAACACCTGTCAGTGCATTTGGTGTGCAGCTTTTTAATTTTCCCAAAGTGCACGGTATATGATTTGTTGCACACATGAGACTTGGAGTAAATCATTTATTGAGTAATTAGGTAATTCTTGCTCGAGCACTAGAGAATTTCCTTGCCAGCTGCAAGGAGAGTAGCATCAGCTAAGTTTCATGGGCTTCTAAAAAAGATGAAATATTTTACTTTTCTGTTAAAATGATGCTTGTGCTGAATGCATGTTCTATTCTGTCTATGCACTTTGAAAAAGAAAATATTTTATGCTATCAGATACTGCTTATGGTAGAAAAAGCAGAGGATGCTTTAGAGGAGCTCAAGGAAGAAACTTCAGGTACATACTGTGAAAATCCAACTGGAAATGAAAGAAAGTTCCTGGTAACAAATCATATTTCTTACCCTGGGTAACATATGAAGTGGAGAGAAGGTTTAGAGTGGTAATCCCATCCTGTCCAGGTGGAAAGCAGCGACTACAAAAGCCTAAAGATGAGGTACTGATAACCAAATTGTCAATAGTTGTGTGATCCAATGAGAGACCAACCCATCTATTAAAGTTGCAAGATGAGAGCCAATCCAACAGAACCTTGTGATTCAACATATCTTCTGTCGGGAGAATCTGTATGGATTGAGACAATGGACCTGCTAACATAAACATTACCCATGAAACATAGCAAGATAGAAGAATGATAAGATCCAAAATTTGAAAATAAGAAGACCTAGACCACATGCCTCTTTGATGAGAAACATAAGACACCACCACAAGATAGTAAGGGTGAAGCCTGACGATTTACCCCCCTAAGAAGTCCACACCATGAGGCCTTGCCTGATGAAGAGCAAGAAGGATGAAAACATTGTGTAAGGACTCCTCGTTTTTTCCATGCAAAGATTGGAATTCCTTTTGTTTATATATGTACCCCATCCCTGAAGCAAGGCATTCGTGAAAAGAATGGAACTCTGGCTGAGGTGGCAGTAATGGAACCCAAATCGTAGTAGTGTCCAGACTTAACAACCTCTCAAGATCGAAGAATGATCCTGACTAAGGAAACTGGGGAAACCAGTAAATAGATGAGTATGATCATTGTTCGCTTAAAGACCAATAAAAGGATCACTTGTGTTCTTGTTCTAAAGGCATGAAGGATTCAAGTGATTCCGACATTCCCAGATTAGCAAGAACCATCCATGCAGTGGGAAAAGGAGTGAGTAAGTGTGTGTTGCATCCTATTCTACAACATTGAGGAGACGGATGAGCCCGAATAAGAGATGAGATGAAAAATAAAAAATACCCAGACTGATGACATATTGAATTGGAGCAAGAATAGATGATGCAGACCCGAAAGGGAAACCGTCCTAGGTTGTATCTGAAAGTACAATCAGGATGTCCATAGAATGGTGTGTGAACAGTGCGATGGAATATAGGGGATGACAAAAAAAAAACTTGTATGATATGGTAGAACCCATGTGAAGACTAGGCAAATCCAAAGGTAAAAACCTGGAACTTCTGTGCCTGACCCTTGTGCACCACAAATACTGAGAGTGGTGAAACTCCACTGCTAAGGCAACATGCAGATACCAGTCAACTACAACCAAGTTGGACATCTACAATCCCAGTAAAAAAAATCAACACAGATTGAGGAATGAGTAACTTATGAACCATGGAGAATCTAAGCATTGATGTGGACAAGGAAGATCGATGACTGGACACCAATGTCCTGTCTGCACAGGCCCAACAACTTACAGGAATAAAAACTCTGTAGAATGAGCCAGACTCTCTCAATACCCCCAGACCAACCAAACTAAGTTCCAAGTTCTGATGAACTGTGGGAGATGGAAATCCTACAGATTGTGTGGATAAAAGTGAGGAAGATGTGAACTGAATAAACAATTGTGACCCAAGGACCTGCAGAGCTCCTGGACCCATGGTTAAGGTTACCACATGTCCAGAAATTCTTGTAACTGAGCCCCCACATCTCCTGATGAAGGTATATAATAATCACCGATGCTGCTGGTGATCTGACTAAGCAGTGTAAATCTTGAATATAGACAAAGTCTATTCTGAGTACCAATATACCAAGGGGCTGAAGTCGGGACTCATGAAAATGGGCAGAACTATAACCCCCTGTAAGAGCTGATGAAATTTGAGACACCAACAACAACAGGGAGGATTGTAGAAGCCAAAAATTAAACCAACGAGGCATGCTAACAAGGGATCCAGCTCTTCATCAATGAAGCTGATCTTGAGAGTCTTCTAACAAAGTGAAGGGAAAGGAAATAAAATGTTGAATTTGAGTTGTAAATCCGTAAACTAACTCTGTCCTATCAGGGGACATAGACCCATAGAGGTTAACTTCAAACTCCACCTTAGAACCCCAAAATTCGAGAAGCAGATGTATTATTTGATAGTTGGAAAAATGCCTCCATTTTGTGGTGGTAGGCTAAATCACACGGTCTAACAACATGTTGGATAAGGCCTAACTGTCGTTTCACATAAGTAAAAAGTAAAACCTTCCAGCATGAACCACAATATCCGTGTATCAAAAAAAGAACTAAAAATTCACTCCCAGACCTTTTAGCTATCAAGTAAGTTGCAGGCTCAAAAGCAACCAAGAAAAAGCCCAAAACATCACACACTCATAAAACCAACAGAAGAAAAACAAATTAAAGGCAAAATATCCCAAAGTGTTTCGTTTTTCATAGGTCATATAAAGACTGTGTTGATTACCATTGATTGGAACAGAATTTTGTAAGGTAAAGTAAGTTGTTTTGTTAGAGCAAAGCAACTTCTGGCCATCTGCCACGTCCACCCTAGGGAATCGAACCCTGGACCCCAGCACTGTAAGTCCGTAAACTTACTACAGTCACACAGGGGGGGCTGGAAATCCAACAGACCAAAAGAAAGCACATGAAGAAGTGAGTATAA